ATAGGTAGATAAGAGACAAATGGTTTTATTCTTTTGAGTTTTTGATAAGCCCTTTACTGAATACACAATTTACAGGAACAGTCTGTTATGCCTTAGAATGGCTTAGTGAAACAATAGGGCAAATGTTTAAATGTATGTTGCAAAGTTGTAGGATACAAGATTAATATGCAAAAGTAAGTCTCTTTTCTATATACCAGCAATGAACAAGTGGAATTTGAAATTAAAAATACATTACCATTTATATTAGCACCCCCCAAAATGAAATACTTAGGTATAAATCAAACAAAATATGTACAAGATCTATATAAGGAAAACTACAAAACTGATGAGAGGAATCAAAAAACAATGAAATAAATATAGAGATTTCGTGTTCATGGAGAAGACTCAATACTATAAAGATGTCAGTTCTTCCCAACTGAATTACACATTCAATGCAGTCCCAATCAAAATCTCAGGAAATTATTTTGTGGATATTGAAAAATTGACTCTCTAGTTTAAATGGGGCCAGGTGCAGTGGCTCACAACTGTAATCCCAGCACTTTGGGAGGCTGAGGTGGGTGGATCACTTGAGAAAAGGAGTTCGAGACCAGCCTGGCCAACATGGTGAAACCCCATCTCTACTAAAATACAAAAATTAGCTGGGCATAGTGGCGGGTGCCTATAATCCCAGCTACTAGGGAGGCTGAGGCAGTAGAATTGCTTGAACCCAGAAAGCAGAGGTTGCAGTGAGCCAAGATGGTGCCACTGCATGGAGCATGGGCAACAGAACGAGACTCTGTCTCAAAAAAAGAAAAAAAAAGTTTAAATGGAAGAGCAAAAGACTCAGAACAGGCTGGGTGTGATGGCTCATGCCTGTAATTCCAGCAGTTTGGGAGGCTGAGGCAGGAGGATCACTTGAGGCCAGGAGCTTGAGACCAGCTTGGGCAATATAGCAAGCTCCCATCTCTACAAAAAAATATAAAAAATTAGCTGGGCAAAATGGTGTGTACCTGTAGTTCTGTAGTTCTAGCTACTCAGGAAGCTGAAGTGGGAGGATTGCTTGAGCCCAGAAGGTTGAGGCTACAGTGAGCCATGATTGTGCCACTGCACCCCAGCCTGGGCAACAGAGCAAGACCTTGTCTCAATGACAAAAAAGACTCAGAATAGCCAACTCAGTATTGAAATGGAAGAACAAAGTCAGAGGAGTAACACTACTCAACTTCAAGACATACATTAAAGCTACAATAATCAAGACAGTGTGGTATTGGTGAAAGACAAATAGAGTGGAACAGAATAGAAAGCCCAGAAATAGACCCACATAAATATAGTTAACTGCTCTTTGACAAAGGAGCACAAGCAATATAATGGAGAAAAGACAGTCTCTTCACAAATGGTACTGAAGCACTTGGACATCCACGTGCAAAAAAGAAAAAATGAATCTAGACACAAACCTTACACCCTTCACAGAAGTTAAGTCAAAATTTGTCACATTCAGAACTATAAAACTCCTGGAAGATAACATAGGAAAAAATCTAGCTGAACTTGGGTTTGGCAATGACTTTATAGTTGTTAACACCAAAGGCATGATCCATGAAAAAAATAATTGACAAGCTGAACATAATTAAATAATTTAAATTAAATAACTAAAACTAAAAGCCCCTGCTTTGTGAAAGACACTGTCAAGAGAATGAAAACACAAGCCACAGACTAGAGAAAATATTTGCAGAAGACAGATAAAGGACTGTTTTCCAAAACATACAAAGAATTCTTAAAATTCAACAATAGGAACACAACCCAATTTAAAAATGGGCTAGAGACCTTAACAGAACACCTCACCAAACACAATATACAAATGGTCAATAAGCATATGAAAAGATGTTACACATCAGGCCAGGCATGGTGGCTCACGCCTGTAATCCCAGTATTTTGGGAGGCCAAGGCAGGCATCACCTGAGGTCAAGAGTTCAAGACTAGCCTGCTAACATGGTGAAACCCCATTTCTACTAAAAATACAAAAAATTAGCTGGGTGTGGTGGTGGACACCTGTAATCCCAGCTACTCGGGAGGCTGAGGCAGGAGAATCGCTTGAACCCGGCAGGCAGAGATTGCAGTGAGCCAAGATCGCACCATTGCACTCCAGTTTGGGCAACAAAAGTGAAACTCCATCTCAGGAAAAAAAAAAAAAAATACAAGGAAAATTTGACAGGAAAACTATATAGTTTACAACATTAATTAAATATTACAATCTTAAAGGAGAGGAGAAACAAAAATCTCATTAAATGCTTAAAAGGGAAACTGATAAAATTTGAAATAGGTTTTCTTAAAACTTGAGAAGAGTAAAATTAGAATGAGTAAATTAGGGCTGACAAACTAATAGAAGGAAACTTTTTGTTTTTATTATGGAAATTTTAAAACAAAAATAGAATGAAACATAGAACAGTATTAAGTAAAAAAGAATTTAACAAAAAATAGTATAACGAAACTCTGTGTGCCTATCACTCAGATTTAACAATTATCAATTTATAGCTAATCTTGTCTCATCCAAAACCCCACCTCTACTCCTTTACCCCCATCTGCTGGATTATTTTGAAGGCAATCCCAGACACTATATCACTTGATAGATTTATCACTAAAAATACAAAAATTAGCCAGGCGTGGTGGTGTGTGCCTGTAGTCCCAGCTACTCGGGAGGCTGAGGTGGGAAGATCATGTGAGCCCAGGAGGTGGAGGTTGCAGTGAGCCAACATTACACACCACTGCATTCCAGCCTGGGCAGCAGAGTAAGACCCTGTCTCAAAAAAATAAAAATAAAAACAAAAAAGTTAATGGAAAAAAAAGGCCCACCAAGTGCTCAACATTTAATTAAAATAGACCTACATCATGGCACATCATAAAATTTCAAGATACTGAGGTCAAAAGATCTTATAAGCTTCCAGAAAGGAAAGAAACAGGTTTCAGACAAAAGATTAAGAATTAGAATGGCACTGTGACTCTCAGCAGCAACTCTAGAAGCTGAAAGACAATGAAACAATGCTTCAAAATTTCCCCATCCAAGTACTAACCGGGCCTGACCCTGCTTAGCTTCCGAGATCAGATGCTATCAGGCACGTTCAGGGTGGTATGGCTGTAGATGCAATGCCTCAAAATTCTAAGGGAAAATTATTTCCAACCTACAATTCTATACCTGGCTATGTTCTCGATAAAATAGGAGTTTAGAATAAAAACATCTCAAAGAGTGTGAAAATTATTTCAATGCACCCTTTCTCAGGAAGGTACTGCAGGATATGTTTCCCCCAAATTAAGAAGTAATTCATGAGAGAGAAACAAGAGATGTTTCCATGACAGCAAACAAGAAATCCAATACAACAGAAAAGTGAGGGGAATCCCTGGGATAATGAAAAAGAAAAATCTCCAAGCCAAAAGTGAATCACAGGCATAGAAAATAAACTGTCCATTGATGATTGATTGGAATACAAAAGATAAGAGGGGAAGAAGAATCTAGGATTACTTCTAGGGTTCTGACTTGAACAACTTGGTGAAGCAGCATATAATTAGGTAAGAAACATTAGAAGAGCAGGTATAAGAGCAGGTATGTTTTTGGAGGTGGTGAGTTTGAGTGGAGATGGTGAATACACAGTTACCTAGGCATAGCACTGACATTTAGGCTAGAGATGGTCAGTGTAAAGATGGCAACCTAAGTCCCCAAAGTGGAAAAGATCACCAGGAACAAAGTATAGAATGAAAAGAAGTACAGCATGAAAAGAAAAAGGCCTAGGATAGAGCCCTGAAAACACCCAGATTTAAGGGTGAGGCAGAGGAGGAGCTAGCAAAGGAGGGGCGGGGGAGTCAGGAAGAAAATGAGAACGGGAGGGATCATGTCAGCCTAGAGAAGAGACTGCTTCAAGAAGGATGGCATGTTCAATAATTAAGGAAGAAAAAGAGTTTAAAGCATCCAGTGGATCTAGTGACATGGAAGTCACTAGTAATAAGAGCAATAATCTTTGCATATTAGATTATCAAAGATCAAAAATATTTATTTGATAGTTATCAAATAGAGAAGTGGCACCCTCATATGTTGTTGGTAGAAATGTAAACAAGTACCACATTTTTTATAAGCAATTTGGGAATACCTATCAAATATCAAATATAAATATGTATAACCTTTGACCCAGAGATTCTTTCACATATGCCACCAAAATACTGGTCCAAGTGCACAAAGTACAGGAATGTTCAAAGCAGGCCGGGCGCAGTGGCTCACGCCTATAATCCCAGCACTTTGGTAGGCCAAGGCGGGCGGATCACTTGAGGTCAGGAGTTGGAGACCAGCCTGGCCAACATGGCGAAACCCTGTCTCTACTAAAAACACAAAAATTAGCCGGGCGTGATGGCACACTCCTGTAATCCCAACTACTTGGGAGGCTGAGGCACTTGAATCACTTAAACTCGGGAGGCAGAGGTTGCAGTGAGCCAAGATTGCACCACTGCACTCCAGCCTGGGTGACAGAGCAAGACTGTCTCAAAAAAAAAAAAAAAAGTAAAAGTAGCCCGTAATGCAAAATTGGGGATAGGACGAGGAACTACATCTCTATCAAGTGAAACAGGGTGAATAAATTTAATGAAATAAATGTGTCTGCTGGACACCTAGGTAGCTGCTCATAAATGAAGTAGCTATGATTGTACTAACATAGAATGGTAGCTGTGATACAGTAAGTACAAAAGCAGAATACATAGTTCCCATGCGTCTAACACTGTATATATAGGAATAGATGTGCATATACATTATAACAATATAAATCTTTGTAAATGCATAGATAAAAATATAAAAACTGTTAGAGGTGAAATCTATGAAACAGGATTTGGAAGGCAAAGGACGACATTTACTTTTCCACTCTTTGAAATTCTTTACAGAAAGGTATGATTTTTATCAGTGTTTAAAGAGAACATGAAAGGATAAAAGAAAAAAGCATTAACTAAGCAGAGTCTGGGAGAAATGAGAATGGCCAGCTGTCTAATGCCCTTACCTTTCCTGAGACAAGTTCTTGCCATAGGCTTTGCTGACAAAATCTGTTATTTGAAACTTTGGGCAAGATGCTGTGTCTTTCCCACAGTCTTCAAAGTGCACGGAGAGAAAGAGTTCACTCAGAAGCTGCAGCACTTGGGAGTGGGCCATGTTTCTTGCTGTGCATATGTTTAGGGCCGCATAAAACACTCCCTCCAACCACTTGATCTTGAGGATTATTCCCCCTACACATCAATGAGAAGGTAAATACCAGTTAGCACCACCAAAAATGGTTGCAGAGAACCTAGAATAAACCCCTGACAGTGAATAGCCACCTTTTTGAATAGCCACCTTTTTTCCAAGACAGGTTGGTAATATGAACCACAAGATAAACACTCCTTCCTGAGCCATAAGCCCTACTTGTGCCCTTTATAACACATCATGTGTTGACCATCTCAAAGGCGCACAGATACAACTAATGTAGACATTGCTAATGGTAAAAAGTGTCTCTAGAATAGTCGTTGCTAATAAGGAGAAGGAACTGGAGAAAACTGCAAGATTAGAACAGGGAAAAGCCATTTTAGTCCAACATTACATCCTCCTATTGAAATAAGCTATCTCCTCTTTTGGTTTTTAGTTTGTCTTTAACAAGTCCAAATGATCAGGCTTCTCAGCTCTTCCTAAGTAGCTCTACTGCAGTACCTTGTGCCTTACACACACACACAAACACACACACACACACAGACACACACACACACAGAGAGAGAGAGAGATTTAATAAGACAGCAATGGGCCAAAAGGAAAGTAATTTTCAAAAGAATGCCAGAAATATGTTGAGCCATGACCAGCAGGACTGTAGGGACAGGTAGCTTGAAGAATCGTAGGATCTTGGAGAGCAGCTATGACTTTCTTATTGGCCCCCCAGATGCTGACAGAATCTTCACCATACTGATACTGAGGCCGCAAGATATTGGTGTGGTTCAACAGTAGTTTCAGCCTGGAAGTAAAGCCAAGACAGGGAGTGCAATGCCAGGACTGGAATAAATGACCACATAACCCACTGTGTTTACATCCAACCCATAAACAGACTCCCCCACACAGCTCAGAGATAAATGCGGGTCTGGGTCTGTGCTGAGAACACTAATTAATTGGACTGTTCATCCACCTAACAAATCCTTACTTATTGAATGTTATGTGCCAGGCACTGGGCTAGAAACTAAGTGTGCAGAAATAATACTTGACACATACTTTCAGTAACTTTTCATGTTATTGACTGATGATTTCTCTTCTCACTGATGCATAAGGAGAATACTTCAGTGTTCAAGTAATGGGAATAAATGTTCTATTGCAATTGTAAACCTTTGTACAGCAACAAAAATGGTTTGTGGGTACTATTTGTGGGTAAGCAGGGAAGTTACAAAGAAGATTGGCTAACTATGTTCTTCTACAGATAAAGTTGCTTCCCCCTGATTACTGGAAATGACCAGCTCTAAGAGGTAGGGGCTACAGTGGAGGTGGGAGGCAGAAGTCAGAGATAGGGAGACGGAACAGTTGTGCCAGTTCCGTTCTCACCCTAACAAGATACCTGGGTAGTGGGACGGCAGCTACAAAGCTGTACACAATGCTGGTCTTCTCAAGGCTGGTGTGAATTTCTACGCAGATATTAGGCAGCTGAGATGGCAAGCAGCAGAGGAATATCACGTCGGCCCAACTCACCAGATCAGCGTTATGGTAAAAGCATTTGATTCCCAGCTTCTGGAGCTCACCTGGGAGGGAAAAAGGAAGACAGAAAGAGCACAGTACTAAGGAGTTTGACCTGAACATCAACTATGGGGAGAGGGTGATCATTATTTTAGCTCAGTAAATCAACCCAAGTCTTGTTGCTCCATAAATCAGAAGATATTCCTTCCTACAGGACTTCTAAAAGCCATGCAGCAATGCCCTAACTCTAGTACTAAAGCAGCAATAGTAGCTGAGACTACAGGCACGTGCCACCACGCCCAGTTAATTTTTGTATTTTTAGTAGAGCTAGGGTTTCACTATGTTGGCCAGGCTGGTCTCGAACTCCCATCCTCAGATGATCTGCCCATCTCGGCTGCCCAAAGTGCCGGGATTACAGGTGTGAGCCACCACACCTGGCCTATAATTCATCTTTATCTTACTTTTAGATCAAGTGCTAGAATGTTTCCGATTTTTTTTTTTTTAAGACAGGGTCTTGCTCTGTCACCTGTGGTGTGATTACGGCTTACTATAGCCTCAACTTCCTGAGCTCAAGGGATCCTCCCACCTCAGCCTCCCAAGTAGCTGGGACCACTGGTGAGTGTGACCATGCCCAGCTCATTTTTTTATTTTGTGTAGAGACAAGGTCTCACTATGTTGCCTAGGCTGGCCTCAAACCCCAGGACTCAAATGATCCTCCCACCTCCGCCTCCCAAAGTTCTGGGATTACAGGCATAAGACACCATGTGCTGCCCAGACTCTTTTTTTTAGGAAGAAAAAAAAATCTCAGAGAAGCCTTTTACTCCAATGTACTGCAGGATAACCATGTGTCAGATAATACACAAAGTACTTTACAGTGTCTAAGGTGTAACCCTCACAAGGACCTTATGAAGCAGAAATGAGTAGCAGTCTCATTTTATAGATGAGGAGACTGAGGATTCAAGAAATCATATGACTTTTCCAAAGTTACAGAGCTGCTGGCTTGAGGTGGTGGAAAAGACTAGGAGAGTGGAAGGTATAAATCAGAGGCTGAGAGGAGTCTGCAAATATTAACAGTTTCTGTAAAGTATATACAAATTAATTTTATTAGGATATTTATAAATGAAGAAAGACTGGCAACTCATGTAGTTGCATAAAAATACTTACTGGTAGTTCATTTTTTTTTTTTGTTTGTTTAGGCTAGAGATGGGATCTCACTATGTTATCCAGGCTGGTTTCCAACTTCTGGCTTCAAGCGATCCCCCTGCCTTAGCCTCCCAAAGTGCTGGGATTATGGGCGTGAGGCAATATGGATTTTCAAAAGTATAAACCTAAAGTGTACATTCACATCTGGTGATATGTCGTAAATGTCATTGGAAAACAGAATATAACAGACATTGGCGAGTGACTTCTTATGTTAACCACTGAGAGTACATGGCAAATGTAATGCTGCGGTTATCTAGATACTGATAAACCTGGAAGAAAGATGATTTGGTTTGGCTGTGTGCCCCCACCCAAATCTCATCTTGGAATTGTAATCCCCATGTGTCGAGGGAGGGACCTGGTGTGAGGTGATTGGATCATGGAGGCAGTTTCCACCATGCCGTTCTCATGATAGGGAGGGAATTCTCACGAGAGCTAATGGTTTAAACATGGCAGTTTCCCCTGTGTGCTCTCTCCTCCCGCCTTGTGAAGAAGGTACTTGCTTCTCCTTCACCTTCCACCATGATTGTAAGTTTCCTGAGGCCTCCACAGCCATGCAGAACTGTGAGTCAATTAAACCTCTTTTGTTTATAAATTACCCAGTCTCAGACAGTATCTTTATAGCAGTGTGAAAACAGACTAATACGACAGGACAAAGTTTACAAAACAGGCGTATCTATCATTCTCTCATGTGTTGTTCTCATTCTTTTCATGTGCATAGAAGCTGATGTTGAGCATTTTGAATTCTTGTTTCCTTACACAACACACACTGACATTTTACAACTATAATTTTATTCTAATAAATACATTGCTTTGCAAAGAATATATGTACTTTGTTGAAATATCACATATATTAGTCCTATTGATGGGATAAATATACCTTGACTGGTAAGATTTTTTGGGTTTTTTTGTTTTTTTTTTGAGGCAGAGTCTTGCTGTCATCCAGGGTGGAGTGCATGGTGCGATTTTGGCTCGTTGCAACCTCTGCCTCCTGGGTTCAAGCAATTCTCATTCCTCCCCTGTAGCTGGGATTTGAAAGTATGTGCCATCATGCCCGGGTAATTTTTGTATTTTTAGAAGAGATGGGGTTTCGTCATGTTGGCCAGGCTGGTCTCAAACTCCTGGCCTCAAGTGATCCACCTGACTCAGCCTCTCAAAGTGCTGGGATTACCAGCGTGAGCCACCATGCCCAGTTGGTAAGATTTTTTTCTAGTTTCCTTAGGAATATAGGAAAAAAAAAAATGGCCAGGTGTGGTGGCCTCACTCCTGTAATACCAGCACTTTCAGAGGGTGAGGCGGGGGAGACTGGTTGAGCCTAGCAGTTTAAGACTAGCTTCAGCATTACAGTGATACCCTGTCTCTATTTATAAAACCAAAAAAGAAAAAAACATTACAAATCAATAAGAAAAATAAACCTTGGCATGGTGGCTCACACCTATACCCCAGTACTTTGGGAGGCTAAGGCGAGTGGATCACTTGAGGCCAGGAGTTTGAGACCAGCCTGGCCAACATGGCAAAACCCCATCTCTACTAAAATATTATACAAAAATTAGCTGAGCATGGTGGTGTGTGCCTGTAATCCCAGGTACGTGAGGGGCTGAGGCATGAGAATCACTTGAGCTTGGGAGGCAGGGAGGTTGTAGTGAGCCGGGATCATGCCACTATACTCCAGCCTGGGTGACAAAGTAAGATTGTGTCTCAAAATAAATAAATAAATAAATACATAAATAAAGTAAGAAAAATATGGGTACTTCAACAGAAAATATGGTCAAAAGCACCTCAAGAAAATATGACATAGTAATAAAACCTAAGAAAATAAAACTCTTCTAGTGATTAATGAAAGACATATTAAAACAAGAAAATAATGTAAAGCATATTAAAATGGTGATGTTAAAAATGATCCCAGCACTGACCAGGGTGTAGTGAAATGGGTATTCTTATGCAATGTTGGTAAAAAAGTATACCTGAAAACCTTTTGGGAGGTCAATTTGAAAAAATACATTAGAAGTTTCTTTAAAAATTACAGATACCTACCACATGACCCAGCCATTTCACTGCCTGGTATTTACCCAAGAAAAATGAAAGTAGTTGCCCACATGAACACTCATATACACGTATTCATGGCAGCTTTATTTGTAATAGCCAAAACTGGAAACAGCTTAAGTAAACCAAATGAATAAACTGTGGAATAATCATGCAAGGAAATACTACTCAGAAATAAAAAAGGATATTGATACATAAAAAAACTTGGATATATTTCAGCTGGGCATGGTGGCTCACACCTGTAATCCCAGCACTTTGGGAGGCTGAGGTGGGCAGATCACCTGAGGTCAGGAGTTCCAGACCAGCCTGGCTAACATGGTGAAACCCTGTCTCTACTAAAAATACAAAAAAAAATTTAGCTAGTCATGGTGGTGTATGCCTGTAATTCCAGCTACTGGGGAGGCTGAGGCAAGAGAATTGCTTGAACCTGGGAGGCAGAGGTTGCAGTGAGCCGAGATTGTGCCGCTGCACTCCAGCCTGGGCGACAAGAGTGAGACTCTGTCTAAAAAAAAAAAAAAAAAAAAAAAAACCCTTAGATATATTTCAAACAAATTATGCAGTGTGAAAGAAGTTAGACTAAAAAAACACTATAAACTGTATGATTCCATTTATATAAAACTCTAGAAAATGCAAACTAATCTATGGTGACAGAAATCAGATTGTTGGTTTCCTGGGTGGAGAGCTACAGGGAAGTGGACAGAAAGGGATTACCAAAGACAAGGGGCAACTTTTAGGGGTGATGGGATACGTTCATTACCTTGTGATGGTTTCACAGGAGTATACGTGCCAAAACATCAAATTGTACACTTTTAACTGTGTGCCATTTATTGTATAGAAATATTTTAGGGCCGGGCGCGGTGGCTCACGCCTGTAATCCCAGCATTTTGGGAGACCGAGGTGGGCAGATCACCTGAGGTCAGGAGTTCCAGACCAGCCTGGCTAACATGGTGAAACCCTGTCTCTACTAAAAATACAAAAAAAAATTTAGCTAGTCATGGTGGTGTATGCCTGTAATTCCAGCTACTGGGGAGGCTGAGGCAAGAGAATTGCTTGAACCTGGGAGGCAGAGGTTGCAGTGAGCTAAGACTGTGCTCTCCACAATCTGCACTCCAGCCTTGGTGGCAGAGCGAGACTCAGTCTCAAAAAAAATAAAAAAAAAATTAATAAAGCTGTACCAATTCTTTGACCTAATAACTTTATTTGGAAAATTATGTACAAGGAAGTTCAACTAAATAAGGTACAGTTAACATAAATTATAGTACATCCATACTTTGGGATACTACACAACCTTAAAATCTTTTTTTTTTTACATTAATCTCTTACTAATATAATTAACATTTTAAATCCTGAGATGAAAACAGAGCAAGGAAGAATGGTGTAGGGTGTCTGGTGGTCTCAGCCACTGCTGGGCACAACTACAAAGTCTGTGCATCCAAACACCAGATACAGCAAGCACACCCTGCTAGGGAGAAGCAAGGGAGTGTGCTCAAAGCCTGCTGGGGTAACCTTCTACTGTGGGAAAGTGGAGGGGCTTAAAATCATTATTTCTTATTGATTGATTGATTGAGACAGAGTCTCACTCTGTCGCCCAGGCTGGAGTGCAATGACACGATCTCAGCTCACTGCAACCTCCGCCTCCTGGGTTCAGCCTCCTGAGTAGCTGAGACTAAAGGCACCCACCATAACACCTGGCTAATTTTTGTATTTTTAGTAGAGACTGGGTTTCAACATGTTAGCCAGGCTGGTCTCAAACTCCTGACCTCAGGTGATCTGCCCACCTCAGCCTCCCAGAGTGCTTGGCTTACAGACGTGGGCAAATCATTATTTCAAAAAATGTTAAAACAATATGAGAATATGCTCATGATACATTATGTAAAACAAGC